TACTAAAACTGCTCATGACTCGTAAGACCTAGGTAACCTAGGCTCTAATACCAACTTGTCACGACCCTAAACCCAAACCCGGTCGTGATGACGCCTCTCGTGAAGACAAGGCCATCCGACACACTCCCAATTCATTTTAAGCAATTAAAATAATACAAATTAAGTCTTTAACATAATAATAATCCCAAAATAAGGTGAGACAATACAATTGCGGAATAAACATAGCCGGACATCGGGGTGTCACTAGTCATGAGCATCTACTAATCGATTTAAAAATAGGAAGGGTCTACATAGTCTATTACAGAACTAAAATAAGAGAAAATAAGATAGAGGGAGAAGCACTAGGCTTAGAACGCCGAGTAGCTACCTAGTGAATCTCCGAATCCGCCTGAGCTGGAAGAATCAACACTCGCTAGGGGGACCTGAAGCGCTTGAATCTGCACACAGGGTGCAGGGAGTAAAGTGAGTACTCCAACTCAGTGAGTAATAATAATAAATGAAGACTGAACGATAAGAAATCACGTAAGAGCACATCAATATGCTATAAAGAAGCAGTATAAAACTAGTAAAAAGCAATGAAACAGTGAAAACATATAAAGACACCTTAGTTCAGAAGAATCTTCTTTAAAACACCTTTTTAACAGTTAAATAATTAAATGAAAAGCAGCTAGAACAAATAAACACATAAAATCCACCCCTCAGGCATAATGTCAACAAAACCCGCCTCTCGGGAAATATCATGGAACAACACCAGCCCCTCGGATTGAAGTTATGAAAACAATATATATAGCATGACTGAGTACAAGTATAAACTCAAAACAGTGAGGAAATACCAGTAAAGATCCCCTAAGGGTCCAAATAGTTGGCACGATGCCTAATTATGACATTCCGCCCAAAACATAATGATAGCAAACAATTTTCCATCAAATACTCAATAAAACAGTCATTCGGGACGGACTAAGTTACAATCCCCAATGGTGCACGACCCTACGCTCGTCATCTAGCATGTGCGTCACCGCAATGTAGCACAACGATCTGTAATCCGGGGTTTCATACCCTCAGGACAACATTTACAATCATTACTCACCTCGATCCAGTTTAAACTCTAGCCTGCGATGCCTTTGCCGTCTCGAATCGACCTCCGGATGCTCCAAATCTAACCAAAATCATTAAAATATGCTAAGGGAACAAAGCCCACTCGCAAATATCCAATTTACATCAAAAATCCCGAAATTGCTCAAACCCGGCCCCCATGCCCACGTCTCGGAACCCGATAAAAATCACATTAATAGAATCTTTATCCTCTCACGAGTCTACCCATATCAAATTTATCAAAATCCGACCTCAATTGCCCATTCAAATCCCCAAAAGAATTCTCAAACTTTTCTTCCATTTTTCTCCAATTTCCACTCTAATTTCTCAAATTAAATGATGAAATTCAAGACTAAATTATGGAATTAAACCAAATATGAGTGAAGAATACTTACCCCAATTGCTCCACTGAATTTCACCTTCTCCCGAGCTCGCCAATGGCTTTTATGATATTGGACATAAACCCTCGATTTTTAAATATAAACTGTTTGCCCAGATTTTTCTTCATCGCGAATGTGGTATCTCCCTCGCGTTCGCAAAGCACACTGCTTCACTGACCGGAATTTCTTCTACGCAAACGCGAGAACCCACTCACGAACGTCATGCATAACTGACTCAACTCTTCCCAAACACGACCTCTACTACGCGAACGCGTAGAATAATCGCCTTAGGGACCCAGCTACACGAATGAGGCATAAGCCTCACGAACGTGGTGGCCATTGACCTCACCCCTTCGCGATCGCGGAACCATCTTCGTGAACGTGAAGGCCAACTCCACAGCCTCACACCCTAATCCTTTGCGAATGCGGGACATGTATCGCGAACATGAAGGTCAAAAACATGCAACACGAACAGCAGTAATTCTGCAATTTCCACCAACATGAAGCGATCCGTTTAACCACCCGAAACTTCCCCGAGGCCCTAGAGACAACCAAACATTCCAACATATCCCATAACCTTATTCAAACTTGTTCCAACCTTTGGAACTCTCAAAACACCAAAATCACGTCAGATTCAAGCTTAAGAATTCCAAGAACTTCCAAATTCCGCTTTCGATCAAAAAATCTACCAAATCTCGTCCGAATGACCTAACATTTTGCACATACATCACAAATGACATTATGGACATAGTCCAACTTCCAAAATTCCATTCCGACACCTATATCAAAATCTCACCTATCAACCGAAAAACGCCAAAATCTCAATTTAGCCAATTCAAGCCTAAACCTTCTGCGGACCTCCAACACACATTCCAACCACGCTTTTAAGTCCCAAATCACCTAACAGAGCTAACCAAATCATAAAAATTCCAATCTGAGGTCATCTACTAACAAGTCAAATCTTGGTCAAACCTTTCAAATTTTAAGCTTCAAATTGAAAACTGTTTCTTCCAAATTCTTTCTGATTACCCTGGAAACCAAAACCGACGATTTACATAAGTCATGATACATCACACGGGGCTAGTCATGCCTAATAACTGGAGAGCAAAGTGCAAAAGCTCAAAACGACCGATCGGGTCTTTACAAATGCCGACAAATCTAGATATGGCACACCTTTCCCTGACGAGGGTGATGATGAGGAGGAAGAGAATGCCGAACCTGAGCTGACAAGGGAGCATGCTCCACCTCCCATTAGACCAAGAGTGTACGAGTCCCACTTTCTGTTTCATTCAAGGCACATTCCCTACCTTGATCATTTGCCAAGTATGCCGGATATGGATGCCCTCACAAGGGATCTTGATGAAATTCGCACAACAATGTGGGATGAGACTAAACCAATGGTGCTGGCAAAGGTCATGTTTTTTCCTGACAAAGCTCGCCTAACTAGGGCTGCAAAAATGTACAGCGTAAGAGAGTGTCGTGAGATGATAGTATGGGAGTTAAGTCTGAATGTATACAAGGTTGTTTGCCATAGATGGTTTATGGGTTGTTATTGGATACTACGTGCAAGCAAAAAGTAAACAGGGTTCTGGAAAGTTGGTAAATATATTGGCACCCTCAACTGTGAAATGGACACATTCAATGGGAATCACTTCAACTTGGATGTTGACTTGATTTCTCTTCAACTCATTCCACACATTGAAGTGTCCATAACGTACAAGATCAAAAACTGTATTACATCCATCCACCAGGAATATGGGTGTAGTATTACCAAAAGAAAGGTATATCTCGGGCACAAACGTGCATTTGAAATTGATTATGGTGACTGGGATAAGTCATTTGCATCTCTAGCGAGGTATATGGCCGCATTGAAACACTTTAACTCCGGGACTATTATTGAATGGAAGCTTGAGCGGAGTGTAGAATTACCGGAATATATATTCAGATACGTGTTCTGGGCATTTAAACCAGCAATTGATGGTTTTGTGCATTGTCGTCCGGTAATTTTCATAGACGGTACTCATGTCTATGAAAAGTATGATATTAAGTTGTTGATCGCAGTTGCAGTAGATGGCAATGGACAAATATTTCCACTAGACTTTGCCATCTGTGCCAATGCGATGCACAACTGACTCAACTCTTCGCGAACGCGTTCTCTACTATGCGAACACATAGAACAATTGCCTTGGGGACCCAACTATTTCTCTTCCTCTACGCGAACGAGGCATAAGCCTTGCGAATGCGGTGGCCATTGACCTCACCCTTTCGCGATCGCGGAACCATCTTCGCGAACACGAAGGCCAACTCCACAGCCTCACACCCTAATCCTTCGCGAATGCAGGACATGCATCGCGAACACGAAGGTCAAAAACTTGCAACACCAACAGCAGTAATTCTGCAATTTCCACCAACATGAAACGATACGTTTAACCACCCAAAACTCACCCGAGGCCCTCGGGACCTCAACCAAACATGCCAACATATCCCATAACCTCATTCAAACTTGTTCCAACCTTCAAAACTCTCAAAACAGCATCAAAACACCAAAATCACATCGGATTCAAGCCTAAGAATTCCAAGAACTTCCAAATTCCGCTTTCGATCAAAAAGTCTACCAAATCTCATCCGAATGACCTGAAATTTTGCACACACATCACAAATGACACAACGGACCTACTCCAACTTCCAGAATTCCATTCCAACCCCTATATCAAAATCTCACCTATCATCCAGAAAATGCCAAAATCTCAATTTTGCCAATTCAAGCCCAAACCTTCTGCGGACCTCCAAAACACATTCTAACCACGCTTTTAAGTCCCAAATCACCTAATGGAGCTAACCAAATCATAAAAATTTCAATCCGAGGTCATCTACTAACAAGTCAAATCTTGGTCAAACCTTTCAAATTTTAAGCTTCAAACTAAGAATTGTTTCTTCCAAATTCTTTCTGATTACCCTGGAAACCAAAACCGACGACAGGTCAGGTCATTACAAATGCCGACGAGTCTGGATATGGCACACCCTTCCCTGACGAGGGTGATGATAAGGAGGAAGAGAATGCCGAACCTAAACCGACAAGGGAGCATGCTCCACCTCCCATTAGAATAAGAGTGTACGAGTCCCACTTGCCGTTTCATTCAAGGCATATTCCCTACCTTGATCATTTGCCAAGTATGCCAGATGTGGATGCCCTCACAAGGGATCTTGACAAAATTCAGACAACAATGTGGGATGAGTCTAAACCAATGGTGCTGGCAAAGGTCATGCTTTTTCCTGACAAAGCTCGCCTAACCAGGGCTGCAAAAATGTACAGCATAAGAGAGTGTCGTGAGATGATAGTATGGGAGTCAAGTTTGAATGTATACAAGGTTGTTTGCTGTAAATGGTTTTCGGGTTGTCATTGGATACTGTGTGCGAGCAAGAAGGAAAAAGAGTTCTGGAGAGTGGGTAAATATATTGGCACCCACAACTGTGAAATGCACTCATTCAATGGGAATCACTTCAACTTGGATGTTGACTTGATTTCTCTTCAGCTCATTCCACACATTGAAGCGTCCATAAGGTACAAGATCAAAAAGTGTATTACATCCATCCACCAGGAATGTGGGTGTACTATTACCAAAAGAAAGGCATATCTCGGGCGCAAGCGTGCCTTTTAAATTGATTATGGTGACTGGGATAAGTCATTTGCATCTCTACCGAGGTACATGGCCGCATTGAAACACTTTAACCCCATGACTGTTGTTGAATGGAAGCTTGAGCGGAGTTTAGAATTACCAAAATATATATTCAAATACGTGTTCTGCACATTTAAACCAACAATTGATGGTTTTGTGCATTGTCGTCCGGTAATTTCCAAAGACGGTACTCATGTCTATGGAAAGTATGATATTAAGTTGTTGATCGCAGTTGTAGTAGATGCCAATGGAGAAATATTTCCACTAGCCTTTGCCATCTGTGCCAATGAAAGCCAAGAGACGTGGATGCTATTTTTGAACCACTTGAAGCAACACGTTGTCAAACAAACACAAACTGGCCTGAGGCGCATCCCATCCCGCCCGGATACGCTATTAGGATAATCCTCATCACGTTGCCTCTTTATCGCAGGATGCGCTGTAGCATGATTGTGAGTAGTGCTGGTAGGAACGGTAGAAGGGGATATCGGTCCATCAGCAACCTACAGAAGAATAAATCAGCTCAGTATATAAAAATATATATTAGTAATGTACGTGTTAAGTCAACAAAATTTTAAATTATTTTACCATGGTCTCGTCGGTCTTCTAAATATAAGCATCTCGTATCCTACTCAACATCGCACAAAGTGGCCTCCGTAACGGGCTAGGATGAAGCCTTAATAAGAAAATTATAATGTTATTTATGGCGAATCAATGAGATAAAAACAAATGTAAATTTAATAGTAATACAAACATACCTACGTCTGTGAAAGATCCCCAGCACCCGTCGACGATAAGCCATAACTCAGCCGGCGCCCACCATCCATATCTTTGGTCGACCGATCCTCAGCAATGGTCGCTAGGCCTGAAAAGTACTTCTCCCAATCATCTCCGGTAATGCTCATGACCGTGATCAACAATGGATCTGACGGGGTCACCTGCGATGCTGTTGGAGTGAACGACAACTGAAGGCTGAATGACGGCATGCTGCAGTGATGCTCGTCTGGCTGATGGAGGTTACCCAGCAGATCACCTCCAACATCCTCAATAGGTGCCTCAACGCCCCCTTGCTGGGGACCACCTCCTTGTCGGCCCCCACGACCCCATGGGACAGCCCTGCCTCATGGGAAAACCCTACCTCGTGCTCCCCTACCTCGTGGGACAGGCCTACCTCGATGGTACTGCTCTGGAACCACATAATCAGGGACGTGCACTAAGCGATCATTCTCTCGGGCTCGTTGTAGTGTCCGGGCAACTAGATTTGTAACCTGCTGGCCATACTCGTGCAAAATGGTCGCTCCCTCACCGGCATGCTGATGCATCTACAGTCCCAACCGGTGGAATAAATGTAGGCCAATAGCCTACACAACATGTAAAATATAAACTACGGAACGCTAGGTGATAGTTATAAGTAAGAATACCAAATAACATACCAGTGCCTCGTGCCTCCCGACGTATGGGACGTATCGACCGCCAGCTCGATGAATGGTATTCCCAATGAAAAGTCGGGTAATGCCGCGGTACCAGCCCATATAATCATGCCCAATATCCGGCCGACTCGGTAAATGGGGCAGAATCAGGTCAAATCACCGGTCCCAAGTAAATATTTGCTCCTGTAGCCATGCCAAATATTCGGCGTCCACTTTGGTACGATCATCCAGCTGGTAATGTGTGGTTTGTCAGGTGGGCAGTGTTGATACTATGACAACCAGGCCAGTCGTCTCATGAGTTACCGCTCTGTTTTTCTCATTTCTGCTTCTTATTGCTTTGTCTATCGGTTCTATATGTGATCGGGTTGGTTGGCTCGGATGTTGACTTATGTCTTAAAGGGCTCGGATGTGAGTTCTGATGGTTCGGATATTTTCGGGAGGTGATTTGGGACTTAGGAGCATGATCGAAATGTGTTTTGGAGGCCCGGAGTAGATTTAGTCTTGAATTTGCGAAATTAGATTTTTGGCGTTTTCTATTTAATAGGTGAGATTTTGATATAGGGGTTGGAATGGAATTCCGAGAGATGAAGTAGTTCCGTTGGGTCATTTGTGATGTGTGTGCAAAATTTCAGGTCATTCGGATATGGTTTGGTTGGATTTTTGATCAAAAGTGTAATTTAGAAGATTTTGAATTCTTAGGCTTGAATCCGATGCGAATTTGGTGTTTTGATTTTTTTTAGCATTCCGAAGATTGGAGAAAGTTTGAATGATATTATGGGATATGTTGGCATGTTTGGTTGAGGTCCCGGGGGCCTCGGGTGAGTTTCGGGTGGTCAATTAGACCATTTCATGTTGTTGAGAATTGCAGAAATTGCTAATAAGTGTTGCAGAAAAATGGACTTCACATTCGCGAGTAGGCCCTCGCGTTCGCGAAGGGTTAGTTGAGGAGGCAGATGATTTAGCCTTCGCATTCGCAAGGAAGGCTCCGCATTCGCAAAGGGCTGTAATCAGGTGCATCGCGTTCGCTAGGTGGAGTCGCATTCGCATAGAGGGAATTGAACAACTGTTTTTCAAGGTATTTTGTTCATCGCGTTCGCGAGAGAGGGAGCACGATCGCGAAGGGTCAAGCTGAGGAGCCATCGCGTTCGCGAGTGGCTGGTCGAGTTCGCATAGAGGATTTTTCTAGTCAAAATTGGTTTGTGCAATGCCTCGCGTTCGTGAAGAAGAAATTAAGGCCTGGGCAGAATGTTTAAATAGTCATCTTGTCCGCGATTTTTGGGGTTTATTTCCACCATATTTGAGAAATTTTGGAGCTTTTTGAAGAGGATTGAAGAGGGATTCAAGGGGAAACGCTTGGAGGTAAGGTTCATGGACTTAATACTCTATTCTAATGTGAATTCTACCTAATTAATCATGGAAACTAAGCCTAAAATTGAAGAACTAGAGCTTGAAATTGGAGACCTAGAATTTGGGATTTGAGGGGTCGTTTGTGATTGGATTTTGATGCTTTTGGTATGAATGAACTCGGGGAGTGATAAGGAGTACACTTATGTAAATTTTATCGGTATCTGATACGTGGGCCCGGGTGTCGGGTTTGGCCAATTTCGGGATTTATGTTGTAATTTGATTTCTTTCGAGTAGGCTTTGTTCCCTCAGCATATTTTGATAGTTTTGCACTGATTTTTGTTAGATTTGGAGCATCTGGAGGCTGATTCGAGGGGCAAAGGCATCGCGAGCTAGAGATTTGGACCGGGTAGAGGTGAGTAATGATTGTAAATATTGTTCTGAGGGTATGAAACCCCGGATTGCACATCGTTGTGCTATATTGAGGTGGCTCACATGCTAGATGACGAGCATGGGGTTGTACACTGTTGGGTATTGTGACTTAGTCCATCTTGAATGATTGTTTTACCGCATATTTGACTGAAAGTTATTTGTTATCATCATGTTTTGGGCTGAATGTCATATTTGGGCCTCATGCCCACTATTTGAACCCTTAGGGGATTTTTATTGATATTTCCTCACTGTTTTGACTTTATACTTGAACTCAGTCATGCTATATTCTACTGTTTTCATAACTCAGTCATGTTTACTCTGCTTTATCACTTAAATGAGATTTTAAATGATATTTTGGACTGATCACCACGTTTTACTGTTGCCCGAGTAGCTTGTGAGATTCTAACTGAGTTAGGCTAAGGGCCTATGTTGTAAAGGAAACACTGATTATGATTATGAGGCTGAGGGCCTGAGATTTGTACGTCGCGAGGTGGCTTGTTGATATGAGGCCGAGAGCCTAGTGATGATGCCACGAGATGACTTGATATTGCGCTTGGGCCATAAGGGGCTCCTTCAGGAGTCGGCACACCCCCAGTGAGCGCGAGTACCCATTGAGATGTGAGATATAACCCAAGGGCTGGTTATTATTCCATGTGTTGCCCGAGGGGCTGATTCTGTTGGTATTGTGCCCGAGGGGCGTTTCTTTATGTGTTTACCTTTTCTAGTTGGCGTCTTTACTTGCTTAACTGTTTTAAAAGGGATTTTAAGAAGCTTAAACTAAACTAAAGTAACGTTGCATAATTTCACTGTTTCATGACTTTTATTGGCTTTTACTGCTTCCTTATAGCCTGTGATGTGCCTTACGTGATTTCTTACTTCTCAGTCTTTATTTATGATTATTACTCATTGAGTTGGAGTACTCACTTTACTCCCTGCACCTTGTGTGTCGATTTAGGTGTTGTTGATCTTGCTTACGAGGGTTAAGAGATCCCGGCAAATTTCGGAGTTCACGAGGTAGCTGCTCGGCATTCGCAACCCCGTGCTTCTCCCCCTTTATCTCGTTTCCATTCTCTTGTTAGTGATTCTTTAATAGCTTGATAGACTCTTCAGACTTGTAGTACATTGTTAGATGCTCATGACTAGTGACACCCCGATGTCGGGCTGTATTCGTTTTAATTTTGCAAATTATACTGTTCACTGCTTATTTTGGGATTTTATCATGTTTAAGACTAATTACTTATTATTTTAATTGCTTAAAATGAAGTGAGAATGTGTCGGCTGGCCTTGTCTTCACGAGAGGAACCATCACGATCGGGTCCGAGTTTAGGGTCGTGACAAGTTGGTATTAAAGCCTAGGTTACATAGGTCTCATGAGTCATGAGCAGGTTTAGTAGAGTCTCCCGGATCGGTACGAAGATGTCTGTATTTATCCTCTAGTTGTGGCTACTAGAGGCCGAGGGCGCGGTCGTGGTTGTGATAGGGGCAGGGGTGTGGCCTGCACAGTAGCTAGGGCATCACAGTTGCAGATTAGTGAGGCCCGTTTCTATGCACTTCTAGCTAGACTGGATGCTATTGTTTCCGATGCTGTTATTACAAGTATTGTCTCAGTCTGCCACAAAGATGCTTTTGTATTATTTGATCCTGATTCCACCTTTTCTTATGTGTCATCATAATTTTCTCGTTATTTGGATATGCCTCATGAGTCTCTTGTTTCACCTGTTCATATATCTACTTTGTTGGGAGATAACGTTGTTGTAGACCGTGTGTACCGGTCATGTGTAGTGACTATTGGGGGCCTGGAGACCCGAGGGATCTGTTGTTATTATGTATGGTAGACTTCGATATTATTTTGGGCATGGATTGGCTATCTCCGTGTCATGCTACTGTCATGCTAAGACAGTCATATTGGTTATACCGGGTGTGCCACAGATTGAGTGGCGAGGTTTGACTAATTATGTTCCCAGTAGAGTGATCTCATTCCTGAAGGCCCAGCATATAGTTGGGAAGGGTTGTCTTTCGTATCTAGCCTTTGTGAGGGATATCGGTGCAGAAATTCCCAGTATTGATTTTGTTCCAATTGTGAGGGATTTTCCCAATGTGTTTTCTGCATACCTGTCAGGCATGCCATCGGACAGGGATATTAACTTTGGTATTGACCTGGTACTGGGCACTCAACCCATTTCTATTCCGTCGTATCATATAGCACCAGCGAAGTTGAAGGAGTTAAAGGAGCAGTTTTAGGAACTCCTTGATAAGGGGTTCATTCGATCTAGTGTGTCACCTTGGGGTGCGCCGGTTCTATTTGTGAAGAAGAAGGATGACACTATGAGGATATGCATTGATAGGCAGTTGAACAAAGTAACAGTTAAGAACAAGTAGCCTTTGCCTCGCATTGATGATTTATTCGACTAACTTTAGGGAGCGAGAGTGTTCTCCAAGATTGATCTCCGTTCAGGTTATCACCAGTTGAAAATCAGGGACTCGGATATTCTTAAAACAGCTTTTAGAACCCGATATGGTCATTATGATATCTTGGTGATGTCTTTTGGGCTGACTAATGCCCCAACAACATTCTTGCATTTGATGAATAGTGTGTTCCGGCCTTATCTCGACTCATTTGTCATAGTCTTCATTGATGATATTCTGGTATATTTGCATAGTCAGGAGGAGCACACAGAGCATTTGAGAGTTGTGTTGTAGAGATTGAGGGAGGAGAAGCTTTATGCAAAATTCTCCAAGTGTGAGTTTGGCTCAATTCAGTGGCTTTCATGGGGCACGGGGTGTCCAGCGAGTGTATTCAGGTTGATCCGAAGAAGATAGAGGTAGTTTAGAGTTGGCCCAGACCGTCCTCAGCCACAAAGATTCGTAGCTTTCTTGGTTTGGCAGGCTTCTATCGCCGGTTTGTTCATGGGTTCTCATCCATTGCATCGCCCTTGACCAAGTTGACTCAAAAGGGTGCTTCATTTGCATGGTCGGGAGAGCTTTCAGAAGCTTAAGACAGCCTTGACTACAGCTCCAGTGTTAGTTTTGCCATCAGCTTCAGGTTCATATACAGTGTATTATGATACTTCAAGGGTTGGTATTAGGTCTGTATTAATACAGGAGGGTAGAGTTATTGCTTATGCTTCTCGTCAGTTGAAGCACCATGAGAAGAACTACCCC